CCAACACTCGAGATTTATTGAGTATCAAAAAATCTAACAAATATTTTGCACTAAAACTCAAATTTTTTTCCTACTTTTAACTGCACATTATTCAAAACTCCATTTTCTCAAAATAATGACCACCAAATAGGGTCTAAAGTAACTTGCTTCGTGTCAAGAATTCTTCTAATAAGAGATGTGCACTATGGGTTGAGATCTATTGTATAATTTTTGTTGTCCAATTTGTTGTCTACGCAATTAATTACTGTCACGTTATTTAAAATTAACATGTCATCAATTTGGTGTGTTAGTTGTCAAGTTAATGTGGGTAAATTTGAGATGACATATTAATTTTAAAATGAAGTGTCAATAATTAATTAGGTGGACAGTAAATCTCAACTCTTGTGCAATAAACCCCTGTTTGGTGGCCATTTAAAAAAAATGTTTTGAATGGTGAATTTTTGGAGAATGTATGTTTAAAAAATAGGAAAAAAGTTTACTTATGGAATATTTTATTGTGTGAATGTGTGATTGGAAATGAGTATTTAGAAAAAAGAATTTCGAAATAATGAAATACAAACAATGGCGAATTAGAATCTATCCTTAAAGTGGTTTACAAAGAGAGGAGAACTGTATGCATGTGAAGGGGTTAAGTGTACTTGTGACTAGATGTTAATTGAAATTTCATGTTAACCTCTGACTTTCATTTTTTCTAAATTAGTCACTCAATTTATATTATTTCAAACTAGTCACTCCATCCAAATTAATTTGATTAAGAAAAAGATGTGTCAGTCTAATGCAACACCCACTACAAGATATAAAGTTCCTCTTTGCCCCTAGGGCACATCTTCAAGTAGTAAAAGAGGAAAGTGGAAAAACTCCAACTTTTTTTGAGACTGCCGCTTCAGGGTTCGAATCCTGAAATATGAATTTGACCTTTGAATAAGTGCAAGTGTACAAATAACCTATAACCATGTACCCTTGGAGACTTAACCTGCGATTTGCATTTTTCACCAAGGTCCAGAATAGGGCAGGGCATGACAGGTAGGGGCCGTCAAAGATGCGGTTCATCCTATAAAGTTCCTCTTTGAGTGTATTCTCTAAAAGTTCATTTTTCTTCAAATATATTTTTAATCAAACATTTTCCTTTACAATAATTTTACATACAAATTTAAATCTTTTTTCTATTTTTTAACCCAACATCCTTAAAAAATTATTATTAAAAAATTCATTTTTTTTCTCAAAAATAGACAAACAAAGCCAAAATTGGGAAGTCACGGCTTGAGTCGGTGCGTCAACTGTTTAAAATGGCATATCCTTTCTTCCAAGATTCAACGATCCCATGAATCTAAAGGACTCTGTTGTATATACACACTCATCACTGAATTTCACAGCACGCAGTCCACAGAACGCAGTGATTCAGTGACACAGTAATAAAAGAGGTTTGTCTCTCTGATCCCTATTTTTATTCTTTTTTTGCTACTTCAAGCATAATCATTCCCGTATTATTATCTTCTTCACATTGTGATTGTGAACTGTTATGTATATAGTTCCTTTTATGTTTCGTTGCTTTCTGTTATGTCATTTGTTTAATTGATCCATTAGGATTCTTGAATCTTGATCGCATTCTCTTTGAACCGTTAATGAGTTCTTGTATTTCTTTCTAGTTACTGTGTGCTTGGTGAGATCCATATGAAGACATGTAGTTTTAGGGTTTTTTTTTTACCAAAGCCCACCTGAAAGAGAATTTTTTGTTATTGGGAGTCTTGATTTTATAGTAAGTGATAAAGATTTTTCTTTACTCGTTTTAAAGCTTTAGAATGGTATTTAGATTTGCACATTTTGTGTTTAGCTGAACTTTGATTGGCAAATTTGTAAAGTAGATTTGAATTTATTTTCTATACAGTCTAAAGATTTTGGGTGACTGGACTATTTGTAAAGATTGATTATTTACTTGGAAGTGATAGATTGGGTTAAGATTCATGCTTTTGTTCAACTCAAGTTAATTGAAGTCGAGTCATTCAAATTCAAGAACCTAGGAGCAATTAGCAAAGTAGAGAATTAATCTCTCGAATCAACATTAATGATGGAATTAGTGACCCTGCCTTGCCGAATAGTTACCTAGCTGAATGGCATTGTGAAGCATTTAAATTCCTGAATTCCATCACTCTTCCACCCTTGGCACTATCTAAAGATATATTGGGGTCAAGAGCAATGCTGAAATGCCATTCTACCCTTTGCAGTATACGCCCAATTTCCACTCGCGGGTCTTGTAGAATCAGGTTGAGAACACTTGGCTTTTCAGACATAACTTCAATCTCTGTGCAATCTACATTTTTGAGGATTAACAATGGATAGTGCTAATATCAATAAAATTAAGCCATTCTAAAAGCTATCAGTAGTGAAAGCTGCGGTATATCTGGCCATGAAACCCAAGTAACTGCTCTCCTATGTGACAATCTCTAGCACATCCAGGATGCCGCCATGCAGCTCAGCTGAAGACCTAGTTTGATCTGAGAAATTCTAATTCAATTTGGATAGAATGTAGTCAAGAATGCCGCCTCCCTTGGAATCAATAAGAAGCCAAGTGCTAATTTTCTAATCAGGGAATAATCCAAGATTCCAGAGTACTAATCTTTATGTATTGATTGACGGTTTAAGGATTGTAGAACTACTGCAACTTAGCCAGGGGCTTTAGGGCATCGAAACTTTTATTGCAAAAACCACTTCGGTTTGATACGAGATTCTTGTCATTGTCTCAATTAGAATGAGACACATGGGTGATCACTTGCAGCATCTGCATAGTTGGTTTAAATATTCATTTCGATGCACATTTGATCGTATCAATATTCCCACTACACATTTCAAAATTCATTGAGTTCCCCTCCTTCCCCTCAAGGGTCTAAACTTTGTCTTTATATGGTGTGTATGTAGAAAGATCAACTCGTTCAACAACAAAACAAAAAATAACAAACATAGCCTTATTTTCACCGACACGGACACGTCACGATTTTTCAAATAAGTACGATATGCCGCCGATACATTGATTAAATTTTTCAAAATTCTTTATTTATATAGTATAAATTTAGTTTTATACTTATTATTTTTTCTTATTGAAATATTTTAAATATGAGTACATATTTATTATTTATTAATAACTCTGAGTTAAAAATATATAATATATCTAATAGAAAAGAAAAATGGTAATGGTAAAATGTCCAAGGAGTGTCGGTATCCAACACGGATACGTTATCCTAGTTAAGGCGTCTGTGCAATAAAATTATTCTCAATAAAATTGGAATAGCTACATGAATCTTTCTGTGCCATTCAGCTCCATTGATTGCTGGATGTACTAGAATATCTAAAACAAGATCTTTAGCTACTACACCAAAATCTCTTCATATATCTTTTTGGCTGTCATCCTGGACTAGCTTCTTTACCCATCTCCTTCCTGTAGATCATAAGAAGCCTTGCTTAGTTTTGGACACCTTCGGGCGTCTAACTGCCCCATCCTCGTGTAATTTTTAGAAATGGTTTATATATATTCTCCCTTTTTTGGGTTAGCATTTTGATTCTTGCTTCAATGTAGGAAGTGGTAATTTTAACACCATACACTTCTCAGATGCTCTTTTCTAGACTTACCTTAATAAAGATTGGAAAATAACCCTATGGAGGTTTGAATTTGGGGAAAGCAAATTTCTGGATATTGGACTGGTGTAGCAATTGGTCTCCTCTCCCTACTGACTACTTATTTTTGAGATATTATCCAAAAAAGACAGTCTTGAGTTTGTGCTGCTTTAACAAATGCATTAGGCATATATTTCACTATATCTTATATTCTATGCAAGAATAGCTCTGTTTTAGCATTTTCAATCAAATGAAAATGATGCAGAAGCAAGTGCCTGTTGTTCTTTTTAGATGGTGGAATCTTGATTTTCACATGCCAAAAATTTGGACAAAAAGCAAATAGTAATTTCTCAGAGAAAAAACAATCAAGCCTTCTGTGAAGTATCTGGTATGTTCAGTAGTATGGCCTTCACTTGGAATTAGGGCAAAGCCACCTTACCCCCTAGGGCATGTTTGGTGAGGAGGACTGGACAGCATTAAAGATGAAAAAGAAGTTAAAAGTCTTATGTAGTCCTGTCTAATATTGTGCACCAAACACGCTATTATTGTTCTGAAAAGTGCACCAAATGCGCATTCTGGAAGTTGCTGAATTCCCTTAATTTTCAAAATAGGTTACTACTCTCGTCTTCTAACTTGATACATGTTACCCTGCCATCAACTCCTATCAGAAGTGTTGAAATTTATTATTAGACAGAATTATTATCCATGATTTTTCTTAATCTTGAATCATTTTGACTTCTTTAGGACATTTTTGTCTTTCAATTTTATTTTTGTTATGCTGAGTCATGTTTTTTGTTTATAATCAACGAGGCAGTAAAAAAAATGTAGCAAACATGTTTGTGAATACCTGATTTTGAATATAATGGCAGTAGTGAGCAACTTTTGAATAACAGGCGGTTAACATGTATCTTGCCTTATAAAAAAATTGAACGCGTGGGAGGATCCGAACGAATTCTGCTTTCATTTCCCCTGTATGGAGCACTGAGTTATGTGAATACCTGATTTTGAATATAATGGCAGTAGTGAGCAACTTTTGAATAACAGGCGGTTAACATGTATCTTGCCTTATAAAAAAATTGAACGCGTGGGAGGATCCGAACTAATTCTGCTTTCATTTCCCCTGTATGGAGCACTGAGTTAAGTTATGGTCTTCAGCAGGTAGGCTGCACTGTAGGCGACTAGGAAGGCTCACCAGACCAAAGATTTTCCATTTCTTTTGCTTATCTAACATGAACAGAAGATTGCATATTTTTCGATTTTATTTGATGGGGATGATTACATATCTTTACTCGAAGCCTTCGTTTCTTTTCTGAACTTTTCAAAACTTATTATAAATATTTTGGTCATCTGTACAGCGAAGCGGAACTGCATATTGAATCTTCTCTAACGCCACTATGAGTCTGGCATGTCTTGTGTGCCAAGGCATAGAAAGTCCATCTCATTCCTATAGAAGCTACTCAGTGTCAAGTTCAGACAATGACGGGAGGTGTTCGGCTATTGCCAATTGCTTGACCAGGAAGACTTCACTTCAACATCCTCGAGAGAACCCAATTGCATCATCGTCAAAAGTGATGCCTCAACCTACTGTTCCAAGTAATGTAGTTGCGGGTGCCCCCAGACTAGTCCGAAGCTGCGCTGTCAGAAGGGACCTCGTAAGAGATTGGAACTTTGACATAGCTATTTCAGAGCATTAGTTTGTAATATTGGGACAGAACAAGTTCAAACACGGGACTTTATAGCACCTACTGAGTTAAATGGCGACAGTATTCGATTGGACTCAACAATACAATAGAGTGAATAACCAAGCTCTTCTGCTCATCAGAGTCGAAAGATCCAACTTTGAACTCATTTGTTTTTTCATCCTATTCCTATTTAAGCGAATGTTCACTTTCTAGCAAGTACATTCGAGTGTTCGTAACGCAGTTGAATGAATTCAAAGTGAAGCATTTGTTTATAACTCTAAATTTCTTTTGCTTCTGTAATCTTGAATTAGCAGTTCTGTCACTTGGTCGCTATCTGTATGTTGTTTAGCCATGAAGCAGTTAGCCCGAAATGCCATCGGTCACATTGTTTCACATTTTTATTTTTATTTTGGTGCCATTATTAGCAATTTTATATAGATTTTTTTTATTGAAAACAGTTAAGATAGCAAGCATTTTTGTTACTTTATTTGCATTGATATTTTATACTGATGGGTCAGTGTTAACTGTAGGTACTGGAGCAAAGGGGAAAATCACAGGAGATTTTATAGTTGAGAGTAATCAGTTTATGTTATGTTAGTTTGTGCTTAGAAATAAGTTAAAACTTTATTTTAAGTTACTTATTTTATCAAACAAAAGATTTACGAACGAATAAACACAATTCATATATTAGTTACAGAACCATGGAGTAGTTTAAGAATACTCACAAATTCAGGATTGGTAAATATGAATAACTAATTTACTTGTAAGCAGCAAGCTATTTTGCTAGTATTCTAAATTTTCTTTTAAAAAAAAACTAATTTCTAAAAGAGTTTCATATTCCGAAAATACTTTTAAAGGAAGTCATATTAGACTAAGCTTCCGTTTGTTTATCATTTTTCATCCATAAAAATGAAAAATATGACCGTTATCCATCACATCAAGCCATCAATTTTGAATTTTTATATTTTGTGTGGGGCCCAATAACGATTATATTTTTCATTCTCATTCTACAATAATGAGAATCATCATATTCCGAAAATACTTTTAAAGGAAGTCATATTAGACTAAGCTTCCGTTTGTTTCTCATTTTTCATCCATAAAAATGAAAAATATGACCGTTATCCATCACATCAAGCCATCAATTTTGAATTTTTATATCTTGTGTGGGGCTCAATAAGAGTTATATTTTTCATTCTCATTCTACAATAATGATAATCAAATGAGCCCCAACTCTATCTTAGAATCTCTTCTAATCAAAAGAAGAAATTTCATAAAATTAGTCCAATTGGTTCAAAAGCATATTTTGAATCTCAAAATCTTATTTATCATCTTTCGAAAGCTATGCTAAACAGACTCTTAGTTACTTTTAAAAGTAACAATGTTTACTAAAAAGTAAAAAGTCTTCAATCATATTTAAAAAAGATTTAGGGAAAATTGTAGTAACGGTCCCAAACCTTTGAATTTTTCACAGACTTCATCCAAAATTTCATTTGTGTCATCCACAATTCCAAACATTTTAGAAATTCGCAATTGGAGTCCAAATTCATTTGACCGTCAGTTGATCAAAGAAATTGATTTTGACCAAATTTAAAAAGGGTAAAATAGTAACTTTGATATTTATTCCTATAAAATAATTAAAACAAAATAAAAATAAAAGGAATGAAACCACGCCACCCCACCCCACCCAAAACTAAAAATCAACCACCACCGCCCAAGGCCACCACAACCCACGATCGGACCACCAACGCATTACACCGAAATCGCCACTACAACCCCATGAAAATCGCCCATCCCCGCCGAATCCAAAGCCCAAAAGCCAAAGCTAAAGCAAAAAAAAAAAAAAACCCATTTCTAGACCTTAATCAAATTCAGTGGGTGGGTGCTACACCCTGCAACAATAGAAGCAATGCATCTTTCCACAAATCCCTTCAACCCCATAATCAAAAATTCTAAATTCATTGAGAAAAATTGAAAATCACATATCAACAGGCGACCGACAGAGGGGGCAAGTAGAACGTAACCGAAACCATATATCAATAAACTCTACGTGAAAAAGAGTGACTGCATTTGGGTAAAAATCGACCAGTCTCATTCTCTTCAAACTCCGATAAGCACATGGAGCATTCTATTCGGATAAGTCTTGGAGGAGTAAGCAAACAACGGTAGAGAATTCAAAGCCTCTGTCTCCAGTCCGTGATCGGTGGTGGAGTTGGGATGATTGTCGACGTAGAAAACAATATGAGTGCAGCGACATTGGTGTTGGCCGCACTGGAGTTCATGGTGACACAAACGAAGCAAGTACCATCTAGCATAAACGTGGTGAATATGGGGTTACATATTTATGTACAGATAAAAAGTGGGGAAGTTTTTACTTGTAAATCGATATCCGAGAAATTGAGAACAAAAATGGTTTTGGGGTAGTGCCGACGTTGGCGGAAATGGCCAGCCACCGGCGGCGGTTGTTTTGGGGGTAGGGGATAGGGGGTTGGATATGGGGTTTAATGAGGTGGGTCATGTGAAAGCAATTGCTCTACCAGGCCTTTCAGGTCTAAAGTTTAATTATTCAAAAATTAGGTAATAATTTTATATTATTAATATTAAATATAATATTATTAACCTTAATTTTCCCACATTCCTTCTCCCCTCTTCCCCTCTCATCTCATCCCTTCTCCCCATCCCCCTCCCCCGACGCTGCCGTTCATAAAGTACGGCAGCTCGTGACGTTGCCGCGCGACGCCTCCCATCTCTGCCGGCGTGATGCCTCCCATCTCTACCATATTCATCCTTCTCCTTTTTTTTTTTGAGTGGTGGTGATGGACGATTCGGTGGTGAAGGTGCAAAGTGCTGTGATGGTGGAAGTGTGTTGGGTGGCGAATCTGGTGGTTGTGGTGAGGTGTGGTCGCTGTGATGGAGGTGATGGTGGTCGTAGTGATGGTGGCGGGATCTGGTTTGGATCGTATTTGTTGTTTGGAAATGGTAGTTGTGATGGTGGTTGACGGCGATGGTGGAGGCAGCGACGCTGTGAGGTGGTGGCTGTTTGTGGAGTGTTGGTTGTTGATTGAAGTTGCAGGGGGAGGTGGTGTGTGGTGTTGGAGCTGGCGTTTGTGGCGGCGGCTATGTGTGTGATAGTCATGGAGTTGTTTACAGCAGCGATGGTGGTGCGTTTTTGTTGTTGGCGATGGTGGTACATTTCTGTAGTGGTGGTGTGGTGGTGGCACGGGTGGCCGAGTGAGGGTGGTCGCAAGTTGCCTTGGCGGTAGTGGTGACTGTGGTACATGACTACTATTTGGTATATGTGACTAATTATTTGGTCATCTATGACCAAGTATGTGTGGTGGATCGGATCGGGATGGGGTGTTTCGGTGTTTGTGACCAACTATTTGGTTCAACTTGAAAATGTGTGACCGATCGATAAAATGTTACCTACAATTTTTTAGATCTGTGACCAATAAAATAAACCGTGACGTATTGATTTGTGATCTCGAAATAATTTGTGACCAATTAATTTGATAAAATGTGACTAGTAAATAATGTGTGACTCATAAGGATGCATCTGTGACCATGAATTATATAATTGTGATTTTAATATATTTAATTAATAAAATATATTTAATTAATTAAAAAATACCTGATTTTTGCATTTTTAAACTTAAGACCTGAAAATTGATTTAGTGATAGTTAATACCTGATTTATGAACTATTCCCCAGAATTATTCTAGGTGATTGGACTGAGCTGCTATGCCAGGCCTATTACAAGCCTGGCAGAGCAAATGTGAGTTGGGGGTGGGTGTTTAACATTTGGGGGGTTAATTTCACAAATGGTCACTGAAGTTACACGAAAATAACAAAAAGGTCACTGAAATTTCAAACTTGCAAAAATGGTCACTCAACTTTCACACGGTTTCAGAAATGGTCACTGGATGTAGTTTTAGGACTTTTATGTTTTAATTGAAACTTAAAGCACCAAAAAGACCTTAAGTGCAAAATTCATATAAAACCTCCTCCAAATTGGCCATTCAAGACCGACTGCACTGGAGGAAAAATCTGCCACCGTGAGCTGTTCGTTCGAAATTGGCCAAGACCCATGTGTTCAATGGATGCGCCATGGTGGGGCGGTGCTAGGGGTTGTGGTCCGCCACCGTGAGTTGCGACGCCGTAGCCGGAATTCGTAGTTGAAGGGACGGACTGCACTGTGGAGGAAAAATCTGCCATGCGAAATTCATCATTGTTCGTTCAAAATTGGCCAAGATCCATATGTTGGGTGGATGGGCCATGGTGCGGCGATGCTAGGGGTGGTGGTCCGCTGCAGTAAGTTGCATCGCCGACGCCAGAATTCTCGGTTGAAGGGGCCGAAATCGCTGTGATGGAAAAATTCTTCATATCTTTCTGATTTGTTTGAATTTTCTGATTTGTTTGATGTTATGAATGAATCTGTAGGTGCGTAATTAGGAGTTTGATCGACATGTGGGGTGGGTATGACATGAGTGTCGCCGGAAGTTGATTTTCCGGCCAGTTTTCGATGCTTGTTCATCTGGATTTGGATGAAATTTTGGGTCAAATCTGCCGAAGTTGGGGCTAGTGGTAGGGTGGGTTGTGAAGAGGGCGATGAGGGCTTCAAGGTAGTATGTTGGTCTTGTGGCCAAGGTGACCGGAGGTTGGGTTTTTGGTGGTCCAAAGGCGGCGGTGAATGTTGTCGATTTGGATTATAGTGTGTGGATAGCCCACTTTGGTGCGATTTTTTGGCCAATTTCGACGAGATTACGGCTAGTGGTTGGATGGGTTGTGAAGAGAGCGATGAGGGCTTCAAGGTGGTATGTTGGTCCGGCGGCCAAGGTGATCGGAAGTCGGGTTTTTGGTGGTCCAAAGTTGCTGGTTGAGAGAATTTGGAGGAGGGAATGGTCCTGGGTTTTATATGAATTTTGCAATTGAGGTCCTCCAACTTTTAAGTGATCGTGTTTTCATGCTTTAAGTTTCAATTAAAACATAAAAGTCCTAAAACTAACTTCAGTGAC